CGATATCATATATCGAAGAATTTTTTTTTAGTCATTTATAAGAAAAAAAAAATAAAATAAAAAAAAAAAAATGGAAAATAAAATTTTTTTTTTCATATTGATTCAATCCTAGTCACACCCCCCAAAAATTTTTATTTATTATTTTCTTTAAAGTTAAAATTAAAGTTAAAATTAGTTTTAAAATTAGTTTAAAATTAGTTTTAAATAAATGTCTTTGTTTTCCTTTTTTTTATTTTTATTTATTTTTTTAATTAAATAATAAAATGACAAAATAATTAATTTACATACACTACTTTTTAAAGAAATGTAAATAAAATAAAATAAAATAAAATAAAATAAAATAAAATAAAATAAAATAAAATAAAATAAAATAAAATAAATGAAATAAAAATTGTGTGTGTGTGTACATATAAAATTTTTTATACATATTGTTTTTAATTCATTGTGTTAAAGTGTGTTGTGTGTTTGAATATTTCTTTAAAAAGATATTTTTACTCTTTCATTCACATTGCTTAATTTTTTCATTTCACTCTTAATTGTTTTTACTTCCTCCTTTTTTATAATCTCTTTGTAACAAAAATAAAATAATAATAAAAAATAGAAAATAAATTATAGTTTTAATAATAATAGTAATAAATAAAAATAATAAAATGGAGCCCATACCAAGCTTATTAGAGTTTGACGAATTATACAAAGAGAATTTAGAATTAAAAAAACAATTAAACCAACTAAAAATTGAAAATTCTCAGCTTAACACCGATAAAGCTCACATGAAAAAAAATTTAGAAAAAGCAAGATTAATTATTGTTGAACAAAGAAAAAAAATTATATCTCAACAACCACAGTTAGATAATAATGGAAATCTAATATCAAATAATGTAACATTACCAGTATCAACAACCCAAACACCACTTTCAACTCCTTTATATTTTTCTACATCTTCTTCTGTAATTTCATCACCTTCATTTAATAATAATAATAGTAGTAATAATAGTTACAATAATAACAATAAAAACAATATAAATAAATCTAATGAATCAATTATTAATATTGATTCATTGGACAGCAAAAAAGATAAAAATAAAAAAGATGAAAGTATTAAAAAAGATAGTTATTGTGATATTGAAATGGGTCAGAGTCCAGTAGTTAGTTCTAAAGGTTCGCCAATGATAAAGAGTTTTTCACTACCATCAATTTATATACCATTCTTTTCAAAACCAAATAGTACCAGAGTAGAGTATATTGAAGAGGAAATTAAAGAAAATAATAATTATAACCTAAGTAATCCGAATAATAGCAGTTTATCTGATAAAAAACAATTTACACCCACCACATCAACAATCTCAAGTGAAATTTTAATCTCTGATAGTTCAAGTATTGGAGGTTTTGAAGAATTTTCATCCACATCAACACCAACTTCAGGAATATCATCACCAAATAAATTAAATAGAAGCAGTGGGGAAGTTAATACCAACTTTGGGGTAAATGGAAATGGCAACAGTAAAATTTTAATGGAGACTATTAAAAATATGATTAAAAAAAATAAAGAAGCTACAAAGCAACAAGACTCAATAATTAAAGGGTTACAAAGGGAACAAGAGACATTAAAAGAGGTTAATAGTTTCTATAAAGATAAAATTGAATCACTGGAAAAGATATTGATTAAAAATCAACAACAACAACAATTACAACAACAACAAAAAAATAACATTAATGGTCAGTTTTTAAATTCACCTTCAAAATTATTAAACAATATCAGATTGTCACCAATAGAAACTTCATTAAACAACCCTAGTAACAATAGAAATAATAGCGAGGTTCAGTTAGAGGTAATAGTATTATAGTAACTCATAATAGCCAAAACAATTATAAATAAAAATTTATTTATTTTAAATTTAAATAAATTATTTTAATTTAAAAAAAACAATTCAATAACCTAATTATAGCTTATTGCTTTTTTTATTACCACTTAAATTTATTGAACAACAATATAAATATATATATTATTGGTGTTTTTATTTCCCCCTATTTGGAAAAAAAAAAAATTATATTTATGTGTATAACTTAATGATAATCACCCACTCATTAATTTTTTTAATTTATTACTTTTTTTTTATTTTTTTTATTTAAATTGCTTTTGTTTATCATTCCTTTTTTTTATTATTTTTATTCTTCTAATTAATATTAATTAATTTTGTTATAATAGTTTTTTTTATAATAAAAAAAAATGAAACATTTAATTTTAAAAGTATTTATAGTTTTTTTCTTTATAGTTTCATTAATATTTTTAGTTTTTTATAAAGAAAAGTTAAATAAGATTAGTTTTAAAAAGGTATTTTATATATAGTTTTTTTTAAATTTTTAAAGATTATGTTTATCAATAGTAATTAATTAATTTTGATTAATATAGGATTATCATAACAGGGATTCAGAGTAAAAAACGAAGGAAATTTGGTACCAGGAAATGGCGAATCATATATTAAAATTGAAACCTCATCTATTTACGGTGGCTCTCTGGCAATGAATATGTGTTACCATATATTAATTTTGTAATTTTCAAAACAGATAACCCATTTACTCAAAAAAGTTTTACATGTTGCAATCGTAGTAAGGAATTTATCGACCACTGTGACCTTGGAACTATAGTTCTCCAAGATGGTTCCTCATATTACACGATTAGAGAAACCAATAATTATAAATTAATGTATAATTATGACCCAAAAAATGAAATTTATAGTTATTCATTCCATGGTAGAAAGCCATCCTCAGTATATAATTTGGGTTACAGTTTGGTAAAGAATATTACAAAAAGTGGGATATATGGAGTATCTATTATTGAATGCACAGGTGAAGAAAATTATTTGGTTGAGGCAAACATTATTTTTATGAACCCATTTGGTCATTTATCTGCAGAAAAGCTCCCATTATTATGCGTAAGTATTATAGTAAATTTTTAAGATCTTTAAAAATATAGTATTAATATTTTTTACAATTCAGTTTGATTTTATTTTAATTATTTGTTATATCATTTATTTAGCTTTTTGGATTTCAAAATTTATAAAATATGCAAAATATGCAACAAAATTACACTATTTTGTTGCTGTTCTTATCGGGTTGAGTTTAGTGGAGGCCATTATAAATTTTAGTATTTATTTTATTATAAATAAATATGGATATAATTCAGAAATCATATCTATATTTTTATCAATTTTCGAACCATTCAAATATTGTTTTTCAAGAGTTTTATTAATCATATTAGCTTCTGGTTTTGAATTTAATAAGTAATATTTATTATATTTCAGAAACCGATATATATTTCAGTTTTTATTTTATTATAAAAATAAAATACTAATTTTTTATATTTTCAGAAAAAAAATTAATATTATAGCATTCAATCTACTGGTTATTTTCGTGCTATTGTTTTTATTGTTCAAAGGGGTCGCAGTGTATTTTTCTAATATTTCGATATCAGAGAATATCAAACATCTAGAAGAGTATAGCATTGTTACTTATATATTGTTCTTGTTAGATTTTGCTTTTTTCATTTGGGTGTTTACATTATTAAAAGAAACAATTGCAGATTTCGTTATGAAGGATCAAATGATAATCGCCAATTATTACAAGAGAACAAGAAATCTTTTAATATTTAGTGCTATAGCTTCAACTGTTACATTTGCATTTTGGGTATCATTCTCAAGAGTACCAGAGTTGGGTTTAATGTTTAATACTTTTAATATTGATCTAATCTGGAAAGTATTGTTTTTTGTGAATCTATTGGCAATAAGTGGAATATGGATACCATCAAATGAAAAAGAACAAGCCATAAATCAAATAGAGGATGAACAAATCCTTTTGGTTAATGAAGAATATTAATATACAAAAAAAATAAATAAAAAAAAACTACTGTTTTATTTTTAATTTTAAAACTATATTTATTTTTATTTACAATATTATTTTTTTTAAAAAATTTTAGAGTTAATTTTTATGGGATTTTAATCTCTTATCAGAGTTTGTTGGTGATGCGGGAGAGGAAATTGGTGGTGATGAAGATGGTGTTGAGGCTGATGTTGATGTTGATGTTTGTTGTTCTAAAGTTGGTGATTCCTCATCATTAAAATAAAGTCTTTTACCAATAGATGATTTTGGTTTTGTATTTTCAGTGTTTTGATTGTTTTGGTCATTATTGTCACTATAGTTATTATTATTATTATTAATATTGTTATTGTTATTAATATTTTTATTTACAATTGGGTTGTTTGGTTTTTTGTTTATACATTGATTAATATGGAAAAGATCTTTGCTTGGACTTTTTGAAATTATAAATGTAAAAGATTTTGAGGGAGAGTTTGGGAAGCAAGAGGGTTTCATTGGTGAGATTGTAACATTGCTATTTACAGTATAGTTTGTTCCTTTTTGAGGTGATAAAGGAATTGATGAGGCAGGTGCCTTAACTGGTGTGGTATTAATATTAGTTTCTTTTTTATATGGATTATTTTGTTGATTTTTAGTGGGTGTTGAAAAGAGTGGTAGACGTTTAACTGGAGATTGGATTATTTGAATATTATTATTATTATAACTATTGATACGAGATGGAGAGTTTGATTGTTGGTTAAATAAATGTACTAAATTATTACTGCCAGTGGGCAAACTCGTGCTTGAGCCATAATTTGGATCTATTTTTTTAATATTTTGATAAATTTCATAAATTGAGGTATTTATTTTTGGTAAAAAGATATTATTATAAAATTTAATGATATCACCATACTCTGGTTGGGAGGATTCTTCAGAAGAGTCTTGAATTAGAATTTTGGTAAATACTTTTGGCTCTGGAAGATATGCATCAATAATTTTTCTGAATGATATGTTCTTCATATTATGGATTTTACATAAAACATAAACTGTTGAAACCAAAAGTACATCAATTTCTCTATCTTTTAACAAAATGTAATGGTCCAAAAATAGTTTGTTCATAAGTTGGCAGGTTTCGTATGAAAAATCTGTTGATAGTCCCATTAGTGATGCAATATTTCTACATTTATTATTTATAGTATTTAAAACTTTTTTTATAAAATTCTTTAAAAAAAAAAATAGTTAATACTACATTAAATATTATATTTTTAAAATTAAATATTATTTATACATACAACAACAAATGGGTTTCTTTTCGATGGAGTTAGAGGTGTGTTGTTATTTGTAAATTGATTATTATTTTTATTTTTAGTTGGTGTTGAAAATACTTGGGCTGCACGTAAACTACTATTGCTATTAAATTGTTGGCCACGCAATGGAGATGAGGGAATGCCACCGTTATTTAAAGAACTACTATTTACACTATTTACCAAACTTGTTATAAGTTGATGATCATTTTTTAGCATACTAAAAACTGGTGAGTTCTTTTTCCAAACATATTTTTCCAAGATTTTCTCTTCAATCGAATAAAAGTGATTAGCTAACAATTTTGGTAAATTCCAATCAGCTCTAAAAATTGATTCAATAACTCTACAATATGAAAAAGCTTGAATATTAAAGTAGTTGATAAAGTATGGGAAATATAATGGCTCTAATTTGTATGCATAGGCAATAATTTCAAAACAACTTGATAATAATGATTTATTAAAATCTTCATGGTTTAATAAAATTCTAATTTGTGACTTTTAAAAAAAAAAGAATATTAGTATAACTAAATTAAATAGATTATTGTTATTATTAGTATAATACTTACTATATTTTGTTCTTTTTTTATAGTTTTTTCTAATAGGCTATAATATAGTTTGGTTGCAATATTTTTTCTTTTTTCTCTAATATCTTTAGTAGTTGGGTTACTATCATTAAATAAACGTGAGGTATCATCTGTGTATTCTTGAACTCTAAATATAATTGACTCTAATATACTTTCTTGACTATTGTTATTGTTATCTTTTTGTTGTTGATCTTCATCATTAATTGTTTTAATAATATCTATTAATCTTGGTGAGGGATAGGTCTTATTAAAACTAATAATTTCATTTTTTATCCATGATTCAATTGATAAGGTTGAGGTAGTTGGTGTTTGGGCAGATCTTGGGGTGTTTTGGTTATTTTTCTTTATACCAGGAACACTACGGGGTGGATGGAAGAATATTACATTATTATAAAGATCGTCTGTAAAAAATAGACGTTCATCTATATCACCATTGGTATAATAAAACTTTTCATAATTTCTATTTAATGAATTAAAGTTATCTTTTAAAATTTGTGGGCTATTAAAAAAGTTATTGTTATTATTATTATTGTTATTATTGTTGTTTTTATTTTCTGGTGAGTAATGATTTATATTATTTGAAGATTTTAAAATATTGTCATTGATTAATGAGTCGTTAAAAGATGAAAAGGTGTTTTTGTTTACAGACAATAGATCTTCATATGAACAGTCTTTGGACAAGGTTTTTGAAAGATATGGTAAAATATCATGGGTAGATGGATCGACAATTTGGGATTCTGGGATTTTACGAAGGTCAGAGGTAGTATTAAGATAGATATAGTTAAGTGTACACAATAGAAAATATAACGATTGTACTAAATCTGGACATGTCTCTTTAAATAAATTATTCTTGTAGTATAGAAACATTAACCAACCAATTGCAAATAGATACTCTTCATTTGATTTTATTCCGTTGTTTGGACCTCTACCAGTTAAACCTAAGTCGTTACTGCCGCTAGCGCCCCCTGAATCTTGTTGGGTTTGCTTTAAAATTTGTGAATTTGTTGGATGAAATAAATTGAAAAAGATTTGGTCATATTTTCTATAAAGATCAGTAAGAGTTGAAAAGCTTTGTTTCACAACTTTACTTTGTTGTTCTAAATTTTCACCCAAACGAAGACCCATTACAAGAGATTCTAGTTTTTCAAAAAACTGACCAATTTTAATTTCCCCATTAAAACATTTTAAAAGAGGTGTTAAAAGTACTGAGTTGTTATTATAATTATTATAATTATTATTATTGTTATCATTGGATCCACCACTATTACCATTTTCTTCGCCATATATACATTGATTTATTAAATTTATTAACTCTGTATTTAAATTATTGGAACTATTGTTGTCATTATTTTCTTGTTCATTTTCATCTGAATTATTATTTTTACTATCTATTGTTTTGTTATTGTTTAAATTATTATTACTATTATTATTGTTTGAATTTAAATTTTTTAAATTATATAAAACTGAATTTAATTTTTTATTTCCGCATATAAATAATGAACATGCCACTAATAGTTTTTGTTGTTGATCTGAGGGGTCGCTTGATAGTAATTGCATGTTTTCTAAAAGACACCAGGCAAGTTTGATTGTATTTTCATCAACATTTAATGCTGATGAGATATTATCCAATTTAAATTTTAGTTCATCTAGCTGTAGTTGTGAATATTTCCCGTTTAATTCTATTGCTGCGACCAAATCGTCAAGTGCCATTTTTATTATAATATTTTATTTATTTTTATTTTTATTTTATTTATTTTATTTTATTTTATATTATGTTTATTATTATGAAATAATATTTTTATAATTATTGTTTTTAATTATTTAAAATAATATTATTTTTATTTTATTAATATTAATATAGAGAATGAAATGATATTAAAAATAATTAAAAAAAAAGAATTATGTGTATTTTATTTTGGCGGGTTTAGGTAAAATGTGTTTGTTATTTGTGTGTTTAGGTGGGTGGTTTAAATATAAAATAAAACTATGTTAAATGGCGTGTGTTTTTTTTTTTTTTATTTTTAAAATTTTTTTTTTTTAAAATTTTATATCTATTTATTTATTATAAAATTTGAAACATATAACTTTATTTAAAATAAAAGAAGAAAAAAAATAAAAAAATAAAAAAATAATTAATGTAATTAAAGATAAATATTTAAGTAGAATGAGGAAAATTTTAAATCCAAAAAAAATGAAAAAAAAAAAAAAATAAAAAAAAAAATAAAAAAAAAATAAAATTTTTGAAAAAAAATAAAGGCGGGGATTTTTCCGTATTTATACATATGTTAATTTAGAATATAAATAAATAAAATTAGAAATATTTATTTATAATTATTGTTTATAATTTAATAAATTAGAATATTTATTTTTAAATATGTTCAAATATAATTTTATTCAAATTTAAGCTTAATATACCAAAATGATAGTTTTTATAAAAAGCTTTTTTATAATATTGCTGTTTTTTTTTTTTTTTCAATTAATATCTGTTGAAAAAGTAAATCCAAAAAATCTCAAAATAGATATCAAAAATAATTCCTGGTAATTGTAAATTAAAATATAATAGATGAATAAAATATTAAAAAATAAAAAAATTTGTGATTGTTAAATATAATTTTATTATCTAAACTGATTTTATAAAACATTTTCAGTGCTATCAGTATTGTTGTTAATAAAATTTTCATTATTGTTGTTTACTTCATTTAATATTTTATCTTTTTCTTCTTGGTTTAAGGTTTCTTCGTTTTGGCTATTTTCTTGATTTTGGTCACTTGATGAAGTAATAACTGGCGCTACAGTTTGATTTATTGTTTTTATTAATTGTTCACTTGAGTTTTTGATATCTCCAACAAAATCATCAACTATTGAGCCAAATTTAGTGAATGTATTTAAAATTTGTTTTGATGGTGTCATTGATTGTTCATTACTATTTGTATCATTGCTACCCATAGTACTATTTTCATTTACATTTGCAGTGGCTGGTGATGATAAAAGGTTTGGAGAATTAAGAGATCCATCCACACCACTATTATTGATGTTGCTATTTAATGATAAACTATTTAAATTATTTTCAATTTGTTGTTGGGGTGGTTGTGGTGCTGGTCTTGATGGTTGTTGTAATGGGGATAATGAATTTGGTGGTGAAGTTCCATTTAATGATATATTTTGTGGTTGTGATAAAAATGAAGGTGGTTTAAATTGAAGTATTGGAGATTTATTATTTGGTGAGTCTTGTTGAGCTGGAATTGGTGGGGCTGCTCTAGTTGGCTGCGAGAGAACATAGTTTTGACTTGGAACGGTTGAAATTGGTAATGGAGCTGTTGGATTACCTCTATTTGATCTTGATGGTACTTGTGGAGGTGGCTGTTGTAAAGATTGTTGTTGTTGTTGTCTTTGTTTTTTTTCTTCATTCTCTTGGATAAATTTATTAATTTCTGATTTACTAAATACCTGAATATCTCCAGTTAAGAAGCAACTAAATTCATCCTCTAAAGTAAGTTGAATTCTAAAATGATGTGGACGATCACCACATGCATCTTTTAATGGAATAATACCTTTACCAATTAGCGAAATATCCATTAGTTCTTTACCAACAAGGGCAACTTGAATAAATTGGGTTTTTAGGTATTCCTTATCATCAATAAATGATTTTAGCTCCATTGTATCGGTCCACATTGGTGTTGATGAACGAATGGTTGATGTTTTAAGACTTGTAAATTCGTCAGAAATAATATGAAAAGCATCCATTTCAAGATAGGCATCAGCTTTAGTACCTGGCTGAATAAGTTCGACCTGCTCTGTCTTTAAATGACGTATAATAATAAATGAAGGAATATCTATTGTTGATAACCAAGTGTATGGTGATAAAATTGGTAAACTAAAAGAACATGATATTGGTTGGAATAAACATGCCTCTGAAAGTGGTGATTTTACCATTGTTGATGCTACTCTATCATCACCAGTTGGTGGGGGCATTTCGAAGATTGTGTCAGGATCCAATTGAGACTTCCAATAAGCTACACCTCTGAGTGGTTCGGTATTTGAAAGACCAGATTGTTGAGAGAGTGGATTCCAACCATCTTTGTTTAATGTGACTTGATCATAATCACCTGCCCAAAATACATATCTTGATGAACCATTTATATATTGTTTGTTTTTAATATAGGTAATTAATGCTGCCTCTGCCTCTGCTGCTAACTCTGGATTGGCACTTTGACTAACATTGTTATTACAGAAATTAATAAACATTAAACTTGTTTCTCTAATTTGTAAGCTGATAGTTGTACCAAATTGAACATCCTTATATTTATCTTTAAATAATACTTCGGTGGATTTTTGACTTTGTTCAATGATTTTAGAACTCATTTCTTTTAATTTTTTAGAACCAAAGAAAAAGTTTACTAAATTACCACTGCCACTGCTGCTACCACTATTACTGCCACTACCACTAAGATCTCTTTGTGGTACCATTGGTGGAGCAGCTGATGGTAATGGTGGTGAGGTACCAGCTGGAGATGAACCATTACTATTAGATAGGTAAGTTGTTGTTGCTGTTGGTAAACCAGAGCTTGAAAGTTGTTTTTTGTGTGGAAGTCTTTTTTGTAAATAACTAACTGAAATATTGTTTACACAATTGGCCAATGATTTTCTTACTAAAACTATTGAGGCAGTATTATCAGAGATGGCGGTGGCAACAGTGATATACTCAGTACCCAAGTATTTACGAATTAAATAAAACCAATATTGACGATAGTTCATAACTAATCCTGGAGATTTACGGTCTGCTGAAATTCTTTGAGCTGAAATTGAGTAGAGGTCTTTATCTTTTGGTAACCATTCATCTAAGAAATCACTATTGATGTTTATATTTTCCATATTCCATGAACCAATATAAGAGTTGAATATATCTAATAGTTTACGTTTAATTGGTATTTTTGGTGATAAAACAAAACTATCATCGCTTGTTGGTGATAAAACAATAGGGTCATTGTTGCTGCTATTATCATCATTATTACTAACATTACTATTATTTAATGATGTAAATTCATTACTTAATGAGTTTAATGAAGAGGTTGATGAATTTGAAAATATATCGTTTGTTATACTATTAATTTTTTGATTTAATATATTACTCTTTTCATCAGATGATGAATGATTCATTTGTGGTAAAAACTGTTTGGTGAAACTTTGTTTATAGAGCTCTTGAAGGAACTGTTCTCTTTGAAGTGAGGATGTGAATTGGAAGCATTCTGGTGAAGGGTTTTCAACATAATAAAGATTAAGTTGACGATGATTTAATTTACTCTTCTCAATTAAATAAATTGAGGAGAAATAGTAATCTTTACGACGACCTGAGCCTTTGAGCCAAGATGTGATCGAGTTATGAGATTGGTTAATTCTAACTACAGCTGGGAAACCACGAGATGAAGGATCATTTGGATCTGATAAAATACTTGCACTGTATTCAATATCAATTGAAGAACTTTCTGCCAATGAATTTGGATTATGAGCTTCATTTGATAGTTTTTCGACAACATATTTTCCTAAAAACAAATCAATAGCAGATTGTTTTTCATCATCTTTGAAATTCTTGTTTATATATCTTCTTACAGAGTTCATTCCATCAGTCATAGTACCTTTAACGGAACGTTTACCAGTACGAGTGAAATCGGTTTTTAAAGCAACGGTACCAGTATATTGCTCGCTCATTACGTCGGCATTATCAGCCCAAATGTTCTTGAATTGCATTTCGAAAGCGGTATGATTCTCGATACGTTCTGAATGGCTAATGATACCCATACGAGTTAATTGACTATGTAGTATATAGTGAGCAAATACACTTTGAACAACATTGGTACGATCCAAACAATCGATACAATTAGTTCTAAAAGAACCAGTTTGCAAGAGAGTTGGTTCTCCTACAGTACTTTTAAAGAGATGGCCATACTGATCTAAATAGGGTTTTACTTGATCTAAAAGTTCGGAAAGCTTGTCATAACGATTGTTTTTACATTTTTCGTGAAAATCGAATGCATAATAACGGACTGTCTCTTCTGGGTATAAAAGGTTGGTCTCTGATTCGAAGGCATCACCAATAGCAGATTCACCACCTATTTGATCGATTAAAGATACTATAACTTGTGGGCCATATAAGTGAATTAACTCGTTCATATGAGCTTGGAAGGCATCATCTGTCATAATATTATTATCTACAACTGGTTTTGGCTTTAATCCCTTTCCTTTTTGTTGCCAAATTAATGGTATTGAGCCTCTAACTTGAACAAAACTAGTTAATACTTGATCGAAAACTACAATTTGTTCAGTTTCTACAAAGTTTGCAACATTGCCCAATGGATCTGAACCACGTATATGATAACGAGCACCTGTTCTTTTACAACTTCTTCTAGAGATAAATATATATTTGAATTGATTTGAATTAATCTCGCAATCGATAATCTTTATAAAACCATCCATAACGGGTACTATAAATGAATCAAATGAATTTTCTATAAATATTTGTTGTAAATGATAATTCCAAAAGAATCTTCTATCTGAACGCTTCCATAGTGGTTGTCCCATTAAAATTGGATTAGACTCGATTTTACTTGCTCTTTGTTCTGACTGTGTGACATCAAAATTATATGAATAGTATAAATCACATGATTCCAATAAGTCATTTAATAATGTTAAATAATTTTTTTCTTCTTTTTTCTTTATAAAAAAAATATATAAATATTAGTTAATATATATTGAATAATATGAATAAGTAAACTATGTATCTATTACCTCTTCTTCATTTAAAACAATAGGTATACGTGCTACTGGTACTATTAAATGTTTGGTTACTCTATTAATTACTTGATTATCACGAATTGAACCTACTCTTTCAAACTCTGTAATACATAATAAATATGGCCCTGATAATAAATTGATAATACCTAAACATCCATATATTGTGGTGCTGGATCTAATTGGTCCTGAAAAAATTGAATTTTCATATACTATAGAATAATATAATTTAAATTTTTTTATTATTATTTTATTATTTTATTTTTACAATAAGCAATAATTATATTATTTACATTTTTGTTCGATTTTCAAAGTGGTTCTATCAATAAATATTGATTTTGGTGATACATATTTATGTAAATCTGGTTGTAAAACTACATAAGAATCCAAATAAATTAGATTGATCTTTGAGTATAACTGAATACTCATTTTCTTGGTGTTTTATTATCCTTTATTTTGAAAACTTTATAAATTATTATAGTTGGTGCTATATTATTATTTTCTTATAATTTTACAATTTGCTATGATTATTTTATAATATGATTTATATTACAATATTCTATTATTTATACTATACATATAATGGTTTTTATTGTACACTTTTTTATTTTAATTATTTTATTGTAATGATTTTAAAAAAAAAAAAAAAATTAAAATTTAATTAAAATTTATTGTTTATAATAAAAAAAAAGTATATAACTATGTTTCTACAATAAATTTTTTTTAATTTTTATTATTTGTTATATTATGTTATTGTTATTAATTATATATCATATATTACTTATTATAATTGTATTGTTTTTTAAATATCTTATGCACCCACGAAAAATTTTTAAAAAATAAAAATAAAAAATTTAAAAAAAAAAACAAAAATAAAAAAAAATACATAAAAATTGAAAAAAATAAAAATAAAATAATTAAATAAATATTCAAAATCACTATTCAAATATTTGAATTTATTTTAGTCTTTCTCATAGCCATATATATATTAAT